GGACATGTCCAAACTAATTCCTAAGAAGTCCCCCATTTACTTTTTTTAAATTCAGCAATAGAATCCATTTATTCGCCTCCACCATATTTGATGCGTTTTTCCCTTATAACTACAGCAGTAATTCCCTACGAAAACGGACATTCAAAGTAAAAATCTTTACGAAAAAATGTCAGAGTATATTTCAAAAACATTTAAAAGGGATTTTCAGGTCTGGAGAGCAGCCACAGTTCAGTCTTGTGACTGCTGTGAAAAGATCTGAAACGCTTGGGCTATTTTCACTGCGTGTTTGTGGCATATTTCAGTGAAGCTCTGCTGGCCAAGTCAGGTGTTTTTGATCAGTTTTTTTTTCAGGCTTGCTGTTCCATGACTAATAATCAGACAATCAAAGCCCAATGTTTTGATTTGGTTCAGCAGCCTCCCCGACCTTTAATGGACAGACTCTTGATATGTAACCGTGACCCTCTTCTTGAACATATTGTGCTGTGGCTGTTTTGATGTTTTCCGTGGTGGTCAGCACTTTAAATGGAAGGTAAGTGCTTAGCATTGACCCTTTAACAAGATAAGCCTGTCTCTGTGTGGATTTCAGTCTGTACGCAGTCAGAGTGACATAGGGGCGAGGCCCATAGGTGAATAGAGGCAAAAGCGATGGGACAACAGATAGAGACTAGGATTAGAACAGTTTCCCATCGTGGTGTGTTGTTGTTGTTGCTCAGACGCACCTGCTTTAGTGCGGGCATCACGGGTATGACCTGCAAAGGGGTGGCCGACACATCCCTTTCAGACTTGGCGGGTTTGGCACAGTACTGCTCCAGCAGGTTGAGGTCACAGCTACGGAAACAACACTCCTCTACAATCCCACGGTTCTGGGTGCGCCCTCTGTTATTCCTGCTGGTTGGCCTACCTGAGGAGAGGTGAAGAAATGCAATGAGGAGGGTCAGGTTAAGGCCTGAAAATACAACACGGGCACCAGTAATGAATCTAGGTTGTTTTTGCAGGATTACTTTAACAATCATAGCAGCCCTCGGAGCAAAGAGGATAAAAGGAAATCTATGACCAACTGCAACAAATCTTTTTGTTTGTATGGGGTAATCTGATTAGGGGTATCTGGTAGTCCTTAAATGAGTGAATACACAAGTAAACACCCTGTGCTCTCAAAAGAAGAGCAACAGAAAGAGAAATACCTAAAGAGTAATAAATACATAAATTCTGTTTTTGACAAGTTACTAGGGAGATGTGAAAAACAGGAAAAAGGGATTCGACACATATAGGGAGGCTAAAAACAGGCAGGAAGAATGCAATACAAAACAGGAAGAGAGTCGAAGACACAGGAAAGAAAGGTGTAAAAGGATAAGGTGAGGGGCGGATGGCTAGCGTGTTGCACAAAGCAACACTAGACAAGATCAATAAAGGCCTTGTTTAAAGTCCTGGGACCCACAAAAGTGTTGGAGAAATCTCATGAGACTGATGGCTGGATTTTATTGCAGGACGCGGGGATAGGAGAGAAAAAGAGTCAGTGGTAAAGGGGGAAGAGGAGGAAAGAGCTCGTCTATGATGGCCCGAACGGGTAATGATCATTCTGATTGGAGAGAAGCTTTTGTGGCGAGCCGCGCACAAAGACACTCGTTGTCTGTCAAAGGTGACAAGCAGAGGGTGGGACGCCGGTCTTTTTCCGAACAAAATCAGAGTGATCGAAAAGAGGCCAAGTCGTGCACGTCACAAACACGGCGGACTGAGCAAACAGAAGCTTATCCGGTTGAGGATTAACCACGTTGTCGCTTTGGCATAAAGCTTTACAGCCACTCCATCATCGCCACAATGCAGGTAATGATCCGAATCAACATTAATGATCTCTTTCCCTTTTCCCTGACATCAAGCCCCCCTCTCATCTGCACCTATCTGACTCGTCAGAGTGGTCTCCTGGCCTGGGAACACTGGTGCTGAGGTGACTGGTATGCCTCTTGGGGTGCTATTACTTTACTGGTAAACAAGCGGCCCATTGTGTCAGCAAGTCCTGTGTGCCTTTGCAGCTCGCCGGCCTTTCATATGCAATGAGAGGTATGGGCTGTATGCAGACTCAGCAGAGCAGCCTGGACGAGGTCTTGAGACACACAGCTGGCTATAATCTCCCTCCCTACTTTTTTCTCTCACTCACTTCTGACTGTGCGCGCGCGCGTGTATGGGCGTCAGTGCGTGAGAAAGAAAAATAGCAAACACGCATACCACACAGCCACAGACAGTCTCAGCTATCCAAACAGATGTGCGCGAATGAGCCGACATTCAAGAGGAGGGGAAATAAAAGGCGAATCGACTTTTTTTTTTTTTTGCGCCGCTCATTGTGAAAACTTGGGACGGTTCTGAAACCTACTGAAATAGAAGCCTCTGTCTTCGCAGACAAACTGCAGCGCATCCACCAGTTCTCCCCCACACAACGTCTCTGCCGAGGCCATTTCCACAACGTAGAGCGTGAGAGCCAGCGCGAACAGCAGCGCGCGACTGGTCGAAGACATCTTCTTGACCTGCAGACAAAGGCACACACACACACACCATAAGGTCATCAAAATGAAAACACGTGATCATGGAAAATGGTGGCATTTAAAAATCCATCATGCAGAGAAGTGTTTTCTTTTGCAGTGTCAGAGATTAAAGTCCATCTAAACTTCATGCACTGCCTAACAAAAGTCTTGCACGAGTCAAATAGCAAATGAGCGCACACACACACAGACACACACACACACACACACCCCACACCCCCTCCCCGATCTTTATCTGCTACTGTCATGTGTGTGGCACCTGGAAGAAGTGCTTATTCTGAGGGAAATACTCGCCAGTATCTTCAGCTTTCACTCTCTTACACAACTCTCCTGAAGTTGCATGGCCGGCTGCTCGATAGTTAACTACCCGAAAAGCCAGACTCAGCATATATTTCCCCTTGCTCACCCCGGAGTGAGCTCAATGACCCTCAGACCTATCGCCCCCTATCTGTCGGATAGAACACCAGCTGTTTGCCCCGTGTCCAGTCAACAGAGCACCAGACCAGAGAGGATTAAAATACCCCTCCACTCCTTCCTTTCTCTCCTATCACGGATGCGTCAAAGCCCCGAGCGCTCTTTGCCTTTGATGCTGTTTGAACTTTCTTCCCTGCATGCAAATTAAGAGATGTCCGGCTGCACAAACGTGCAGAAAACTGATCAACGGGCAAGCATCTACTAAAACACGAAGCTGTTATCTCTTTTAAAAGGCATTCCGCTAGAAAAGTGAGGTTTGTCATGCCGCGCACAGGCGCATGAATTTACTACTAATTGCTCCCGTGATTACCTTTATTCTTCTGCTCTCCGCTCTCCGGCAGGTGTGGCAAATTGAATGATGTCCGTATCTTGGCTGGGGTTCCATGTCAGATGGCAGTAGTCAAAGTGGTGGGAGTTATTTGGTTGGAGAGATTGCAGGTGAGTTAGTTTCCCAGTTGGTGAGGCTATAGAGGTGGTGTGTGAGAGGCTGTCCCAAAGACCAGGCGACAGGCAAAACTTCTTAGGGAGAAGTATTATATACCAAACACGCCCCTTACACCCACCCACCCCCCTCGCTCCTCCTCTTCACGGCTGATAAAAAATGGACCAGAGATGTTTTATGGAAAAGTGCTTAAACGAAGAAACGGCCAAATGACAGCGAGAGGGAGAGGCTGAGAGTCACAGAATGTGGAACGCTTTCATTGGCATTTTCCACGTTTACGCGCTGTAACCTACAATCAGCATGTTTACACACAGGGCGCAGACTGAACAAGAATAGCCGTAATTCCTTCGACTCCAAGAAAAATGTCAATGTCTCCGCCCCGCTATAATTAAGATTAACATCCCCGTTAAATCAGCGCGGCAAGGTTTGCGCATGCCGTGTGACTCAGGTGTAGATGTAGTCACCCGGGTCAAAGGGGTGTGAAGGGGGGGGGGGGGTGGTAGATACTAACTGTGGTTAACCGAGCAGGAGAAAGCCCAGAGTGATGTGGATGTGGGGAGAAAGGATAGGATGAAAGGATGCATCAGCGGGCGCACGTAAGAGGAGAGCGTTTTTCAAACTTGAACTCCCCAAAAGAAACGTGGCTCGTGCCATTTTTGAGTCAAGATCGATACATGTGTTCACTATGAAATAAGAACTTAAATTAAAAAAGCCCAACTCTTTTTGTTAAGGATGACAGCATGGACTCAGACGATAAAACCTCTTCCAGATGTCCAGATGGGTCTTCAAGAAATGAAACAGGCTGCATTTCTGGAAAAGCTGACAGTACCTATAAGCAACCACCTTCACCTTTTTTCCTGTGTTAAACTGGATGAGGGTTTCCTTATGTAAGTGTGGCTCCGGTAGAAGTTGAAAATCGAAAGGCGTCCGCAGACTCAGGCTGACACCTACCGGCGCTGTTCGGAAACCTCCGTTTGTTTGTTTGGCAGCTTCCGAGCAGCCGGTTTGCTGAACCACTGCTCCAGAGGTTCTCAGCCCGATCAGCAAGAAATATGTCCGGACAAATCCCCCCAAAGATTGCTCTTGTGTGAAGTGTTAAACTCTGCAATATCCAGTCTAACGCTCACTGGCAGCCACACACACAAACACACACACACACTTGTGAACACAGGTCGAGCCTTTATCTTTTACATAAGGGAGGGTGGTGTTTAAGGGCGTTCTTTTGTTATTATGTGATATACACATTAGCCTACTCATATATATACATTACATCAGCTTCCATGTACGTTTACTACGAAATAAAGATTTGATGTGCTTGTTTGATTTTTTTGTTTGACACTGAGATAAATTGTGAAAAAAACTGGTATAGCTTTGATCTATACCAAGAAAACATCAAATCCATTAAGTTTTTGAATAAACTCAATGAGAAATGTCATGACCACGCAGGTCTAACCTGCCAGACAGCGCCCTCTTGTGGCCAAAAGCTAAAAACTGTGATTGCCATGCACATGTTCTGATATAAAGATCAACATATTTCCAATTCAGTAGAACTTTATAAATAATGCAATCAAGAAAGTATTTTACTTGCAGTTATTTATTATTTCAGACACTTTTGTCGACTATCAGTTACACAACATGTTTGTTTATTCTTTTGCCTTTTATTTTCCTTGTTTATGCATTTACACAGCAAGACCAAACAGCATCACAAACACAGCAAGATAACATTTTTAAATGAAATGCATATGCATATAACTCATTATGTCGTGGAGCTACATATCTGTCAATTTTTTGTTGTATTTTTTTGTTAAAATAAATTATTGAAATATACATTTTAATCTTAACTATAGAATTATGTTTTTTATATTTCAAAATGCTTTAGCTTGTTTAGCTTTATTTGCATACATTCATAATCCCAGTCCCTTTTGACTTTGGCTCCACGGTCAGCACGTTTCTCAACACGGTTTTCCTTTATTCAAGTAAAACCAGTCATGAGAGAAAACACATAATTTCACAAATTCATCCACACCCAGCAAAGCACTAAACATCTTTGGATCCTTTGCCGGCACCTGCGTTTGAAGGTTTTCAACGTTTAAAACCTTTATTTTCCCGCCCGGCAGCCACAACAAGCAACAAACTCAGCATCAAACTGGAGGTACAGCACAGAAAGATGAACACACTGGTCATGCCACATGTTGGAGAATGTAGAACTCAGCGGAGTGGTCGCCCACTTCACGACAAAACACTGAGGGCATCTGTTAGAGTCTTGAGTTCATCCTTGACACTCTCCAGGCCCCCTTGGATCTTCAGTGGGTTGTCCAGGACTTCCACACAGGAGGTGTAGGGATCGAATCTGACCGAGAAGGGTCGCTTGATGCCAGCCACATACCTCCTGGGGAACATTTGAGATGTGAACAGGTCAGAGAGCACAAAACCTGAATAATAGCTGTGGAAAACCTTCCCCAGATTGACCAATAACAGTTCTTTTCTTGTTGTTTGGCCTGTTACAAGAATGAGAAAACAAAGACAACCTGAAGAAACAGCGCTCACAACAATCTCTGTTGCTCACCATATCTACTGTACTGTTTCAAGCATTCCCATGATGATTATTTTTCTCATCCGGTGTTTCAGGGTGTTACATTCCACAAAAAGGCCGGAGACTGTCAAAACACTCAGTAAAGCTACTTGTTTTGCAGAGTAACATCTGATGCGTTTGCCAAATAAAACTCCAGCGTTTCGCCTTGGTAAGACACACTACATTGGTAACAGCTGTCTTCTGGCAGCTATAGCTGACCTACAAAAGTTTGTGGCCTCAGGGGTTGGCTGGCTGTTCTCTGACCTTGTCCTAACATAACCCCTCCATTTTCTTTTTTTTTTTTTTTACTTCTGCTCCTCCTCCTGCTGCAATATATTCTTACGTGTTGATCGAACGCAGTCCAGTGAATTTACCTGAATTTCTCCTTGGCATCGGAGAAACTCTCTGAGACAAAGTACACAGGCTGGTAGTCTTGGTCCTGGTAGGGCTGCATGGCAGCTGCCTCTGGATCGAACTCCCGCGTCTCCGGTTCATCAGACAGAGAGTGCTGGGAAGAAGTTAGAATTAAAAAAAGGGCTCAGTTGGCAGCATTGTTGTTGTTTTTAAAGATTATTTCTTTCAAAACATGCGTACCACAAGTTCTCCAAAGGAAGAAAGCAATCCAGCCCCATAAGCTTTCACTTCTCCATTTTGTTTACAAAGGCCGTACTCCACTGTGAACCAGTAAAGCTAATGGGGAGAAAAAAGAAGAACTCAGCCAAATAGTGGTCTAAAGTAAAAGGTCTTACATTGAGTAATCATGCTGGTGTGCAACTTTAGTTAGAATTTATTTAGACCACTAATAATAACCTTAGTGAGATGTTTATTTATCTAGGTCTTTCATAGGTCTTAGCTCGTGTTCGCATATTTATTTTTTTGTGTTAGTATCAAAAGACAAGACCCTTACCGTTGACAGTTTCTCAATATCTTCATCTGAAGCCCCGAGAGATGCTAGACCGATGTTCTGCAGATGAAGAAAACAACAAGAAATCTGGTACCAAAACACACAAGCACCAGGAGACACACTAAAGCCATGACACTGAACGCCTCTAACCTGTGAAAACTGGGCAAAGGTGCGATCAGCCAGCATGGGGACGTGGCCCAGCAGCTCATGGACACAGTCACTGAGAATGAAGATAGAATTTGGTGGTGAAAATAAAGAATACAAAAAAAATCAAATAAAAACATGTGAATGATTATTTTAAAGTAGCAAGGGCTTGGTGGTCACTGAATGGTTATCCAGCTTAATGGCAAAATAACTGAGTGAGAAACAGCTCTGAGATAATTGTTTTAAAAAAAAACTTAAGAAAGGCATTTATTTTATACTGTCGTCATCTCTGTGTCTATTGGATTATACAGTAGAGTACACAGAGAGAAAAGATCATGAACTATTTGTTTATCAGTAATTGCCTCGTGAGTTTGTTTGCTTCAGAATCTGTTCCAACAAACAACGCCAGAGGAGTCAGTGAAGTACTCACGGTTCTGGGGAGTGCATTGGGGTGGAGGCGTGTCGGATGTACTGGGTGCACTGGAACACACGGAACGCCAGACTGGCCAGAAAGTCTCTGGCCGAGAGCAGACCGGCCACCGGACGCAGCTGGAACCCCGTGCGCTCTGCGTAACGTCAGGAGGAATAAAGAGTCAGATCCCGATGTGTGGAGCCACCACACATCTGTGGCCAGACATCGTTCCCTTTGTCGCTTCATTTTCAGACCTTTAAGAAAGCGTGACACGTCTTCCAACTGGGGAATGTTGTCCGGACTGTACCCGCAGTGCCTCTCAAGCAGACGGAATGCCTCCAGGTGTTCGCTGCAGGCATGGGTGTTGTACAAGTCCCTCAGAGTTGTATAGACTTCTCGCCTGATTGAGAACACGATTGTACAAACTCAGATTTTTGGGGGTTTTGTTTTTCAAGGAAATTTGTATTGATTTAGAAACGGAACAGAAAACAGCAAATCAGACAGACTCTTACTGTTTCCTGTGAATTTGCCATTTTTCAGTAATTCAATGTCTATTTTGCTAAACAGCTTATTTATACATGGTTACATCGTCTGGAGAATCTGTTTCAGTTTGCTTAAATCTATGTAAAGTGCTTTCTTCTTCATTTCTGTTATAGATATAGTCTTAAACAATCTTCCCCCTTTTATTGAGGCAAACGACCAAACCCAAAATCTTTGGGAATAACTTTACATTTGTCTCAAACAGTCCTTAAGCTGTCCCTGTGAAATGTTGACTTTCCAGACCACATTGCGTGTTCAGACACGCCCTGACAGCCACATGTTTACTGCTCTGATAGTGCTCCCCATCTGTACCTAATTTACAAAAATATCTGTGAATGATGAATCACATTTAACAAACTCAGAAAAGCAACTAAACAAGGCTCCGTTGATGACCAAGTCAGTGTGCTGTTCTGAGACTTTAACATCATTAGATTTGCACTTTGAACATTTTTAATTCTGACCTCACCCCTTCAAATCATCAAAAACATTTTACACGCAGAAGCTCTTACCACGTGCCGATTTCCTCCTCAGTGTATTCCACTCTGGGTATTGACTGTCCCCTGAGGATAAACACATGTCGTAATTTTTATTTATTTTTATCTTTATGGCTGTGCAGTGCCCAGGAGAAAGAACGCATCTTACTGTCTGTAACTGAAGGCGATGTCGCCAATCATCTTCCTTCTCTGTCTGTAGACCGGGTCTGTGAAGCCCTGTTAAAATCCAATATATTGTTCCAACAACATAATCAGCCTGATAATGACACTTAATCATCCTCTTATTTAAAAGGTACAGGCTTACTCACAGGATGGTCTTGATCTAAGTCTGGATCAAATTTTGTGACCAGGTGATGACATCTGTCCAAATCTGCAATCTTCTTTGGGAACCAGTGAACTAGGAAAGAAAATGAGGAAATGTGCAAAAATAAAATCCTTAACGGTTTTCAGGCTTCCTTCAGAAATCTATGAACAAACTTTCAAATGCATTTCAGAAGAGTAGCGAAAAGACTCACATTTGACTTCTTTGGTGGTTTTGACATCTTCTGCGTTCCTTTTGATGGAGCTGACCAAAGTGCTGACGTCTGAGAGGTGCAGTTCACAGCGAACAAAGTACTCCAGGCCCTCGAGGTTATCCTTCAGCTTCCGACGTGGCCGTGACTCCAAGTGGTGAATGTTTGCTTCAAAAGTCTGAAATGTAGTAAACGGTCTGACATGCAACTCTTCAAGATGATAGGATGTGACAAACAATTATCTGATTTCATATCTATCTATATATATTTTTAAAAATGCTCATTTTGTTTGATTACAGATGATATTAATGACTAATTGACTCATTTGTCATTCCTAAATCTCTGAAAATACAAATCAACCCATTATTAATCCTATGTTGAGAAAGGTGTATATATTTTCAGATAAAACCAGATAAAGCTTATTGAAGACTTATTGGCCTTTATGCCTTGACATTCCCAACATTCACAATTGTATTGTTAAAACAAAAAAAAAACAAGCTTGCTGAACATGAAAGTAATTATTCACTTGTGTGTGAAGCGTGAAGTTATTCAAGCCTTAAAAAAAATAGGATACAATTAAAAAACCTCTTTGTTGTCATACCTCGAAAACTTTGAGTGTCCGGGACAGCGCAGGTGTCTTGGAGCTCCTCAACGTGAAGAAGATGTTCAGCAGAGCTTTTCCGTCTTCCTCCTCAAACACAATGTGCTCGCTGGCCTCTGCAGCCTCCGCAGCCGCGGCAGCAGCTTCCCTCTCCTTGCGCGCATCTTCGATCAAGCTCTGGCGTCTGCCGAGGAATCTTTGAGACTATTACGAAAGAAAGAAACAATCAAAGTAATGTGTTTTCACATTGAACTCATTGGCACAACACCAGAGACAAAACACCAGAGTGAAATAACTGCAGGGCTTTTCTTACTTTTTGGATGTCGCTTTGGGTATTTGATGGGAGCGCTTTACATCTCCAAATGCGCATTGGAACAGCAATGCAATCAAGGTAAATCCTAAAACATAGCTACGAAAGCACACATTTAAGCGTTACGACGTGCTTTTATTTTTTTTGTTAATTCTATGCATAGTTTTATTTGAAACTGATAGTTTTTACGCATTACGCACAGTGGCTGCGTAATGACCAGATCGCATTGTTTTCCTTGCACATTTTTACGGATTTTGTGGTCCAAATTTTTGACAAATAATTTTAGGCCCAAAGACTAAAGGACGCCTGCTCTTAAATAAAACTAATTTAGGCGATGGGAAGTTGCCTGTGAAGGTGCTTCTTACCGTGATGGAATCCGACCTCTCCAGCTCGGACGCTGCTCTGCGGATGCTCTTTGTGGAGGACGTGGAGCTGCTTGAATGGGGCATCTTTAGGCTCTCGAGCTTTCCGTACTGCCAAGGTGCGGAACTGATGTGACAGCGTGTTTGTTTGCTTTGCAGCGCTCGCTAGACTTCTCCGGCTCTGCCGTGTGCCCAGAGTTTTTCCTTTTTTTTTTTTCCTAGACAGGTTTCCTCTTTTTATGCGGTCATTTGTTTGCTGTTTCTGACGTCAAACTCGCTGATCTCACTCTGATCAATTGGTGCGCAGGCCCATCAGACTCATCCCAACTTAGAACATCTACATACAGTTTATATAACCGTTTAACGCCCATATAACCCCATGATTCATAGCAAGTTTTCTCTTTCCCTGAGCCTAATTTGTCTAAATGAGAGTTAGAATGTGTTTATATAGGGCACATACATAATTTTCTGTTACATCATATCTGCTGGCTCACCACATGTTGCATGTGTAATTTGGAGATTGGTGGTTATGACCACCTGTTGGATTCACTGAAGTCATCTTTAGTTGATAATCAAAGCTTTGACCCCAGGCTTTATTTAAAGGTTAGACCAAAGAAAAGTCAACTGTAGAAAATTAAGTCACTTTATCAGCTCAATCCAATCTCCACAGCTTCTCACAAATTCGATTTGATTGTGGTTAAAAGAAAAAAGGTGTCCACAACAGGAAGGGACGACAACACATTGTTTTCTCTTTTCATGCTCCGTGTTCTTAGCTCGGCAGCCACATTCAGTGAATCTCCAGCACTTCTGCCTGACGACTTTGGTGGTTAACGTGATTGTGAGTGATGTATGATGCCCACAGGCAAGATTAGGTAAAATGATTATTTTTGGGTCTCTGGCCACATGCTGCCACAGCAGCAACCTAGCACGGGTGCAGAGGAGGCAGATGGGGCCCTGTGTGGCTCTCACCTTAACCTGAAGAGTCGGGCTGAAAATGCTAAAAGCCCTGGGCAAAGAAAAGAGCATTTCCCTCAAACATCAAGGAGCCAAAGGCTAATAAGATAAGGGACGGATAAAGTTAACTGACAGTAATATAAGAACTACCTCTTGACTTTGTTTAAGCCTGTTTTCTATATAGAAAATAAATAATAAAATGGTGTATATTTTTGGATGGGTCTTGTTTATTTTTTCCCTCTGTATCTTGACCTTTTTTAAAAAGTGGTTTGATATAATATGCTGGGTAACAGACAGAAGCTTGACATTTATCTGGAGATAGGAACAATTATCAATTTTATGCCTTCTTCCATCCATCTCTTTCAAGTACTTTAGTACTTCTTTGAAGGAAATCAGATATAGACAATAAGAGACAGGAAAAAAGAAAACAAGCATTACTGGCTTCCATGGTAATTTATGAGCCAGTGAGATTATTCCAATACACACAAAATAGCCAGAAAACCCATACAGTGTTTATGTGTTTCTTTTCACAAAAGCGGTACTATACTAGGCTTCGATAAGAGAAAAGGAAAAGGCAACATTGTTTCAAGTGCCATCGAAGAAAAGGCAGCACTAAAACATTAGATAGATATTTGCTTTTCTCCCAATTTTAAATGTTAACTTTCCTGGGCCAGTCTAAATTTTTAAAATGTTTTCCTGTTTGAAATTACAGGTGGTGCAGCACTTAAAGAACTTAGCCACTTCTAATTTACAGATTTTGTTCCTCGCTTGATGCAATGGCAATGTCTTTCTTTCTGAAAAAAACAACAACATCTAGTAGAATCATGTACAGTTAGAAAAACTTTCTCTGTTTTGTTTCTCAATCTGACCGAATGCTCAAAATAGGTCAAAATAATGGTGGCACCTTTTCATCCAGTGATTTAATGTGAGACTGGACTGACCCACTGAACACAAACATTTAAGAGCATTTGAACAGGAAAACTAACAGCCAATATGGAAAAAAACATTTATATCTGAGGTTATCGTGTGATATGATGAGAGATCATTTTAGTAGATAAAAGGGGAAATGTGATTTTTGCTACTGTCATCAGATCATTTATTTTGGTCTGACAGTAAATCTTTGAGAAGCATTTTAGGGGACCGTTGTTCAGTTTTGACTGTTACAAATTGTTTGTATGTATTAAATATTCAGGTTAATTTTGTCAGCATTACCGAATGATGATGTGGAGCACAAACCAAATTTTTGTGGTCTGTTCTTTGGTGTCTCTAGTAATGCAAACAGAAACTTATTTTATGTTAGAGTTGCAGGGTCTTTTCATAGAACAAAGAGTATCTTTGCAACACAGGAAATGACTCCCTTGTTAGCCCATTTTTAACCTAATGCCAGTAAGGTTTCATCCTCAAGGCAGGTACATTCGTTACATAATTATGTTGATAAGTAGGGACAGAAAAGGCTAAACAGCCAATAAAGTGGTTTTTCTTTTCATAGCCAGTATCTTCTATGAGATTTAAGATAATGGATCTTTGCAGGCGATTTACGTTTTCAAATATCACCATGATATTGAATGAACTGTGTAAAAACCAACGATCTTAATCCATCCTTCCCTTGCTCCTCTAATCCAATTCAGGGTCACGGGGGGTTGGAGCTCATCCCCGCTGCCATAAAACGTGAAGCAAGATGTGCTGGTCTGTTTGAGCTTCAGTTAGCCTTAACCCCAACTGACTTTTTATTTGAATGTGTGTTTATATGGGTTTATTTTTGTTTTTACATAAACATATTGGAATTCATTCAAGATGATAACACTTAAATTTAATCGTAATCTGGCAATTCAAGTTTGAATGTTATTTTAATAATTGTAATATAATTACAGCATTTGTATTTACAAATTATTGTGCTTTGAATTACATTTATACTTATACATACTTATTATTCACATAATTTGATATGATCATCTTTCAAGGTTTAACAGATAGTAACAAAACAATCTGTCTTACTCAACTCTGTTAAAAAAATAATATTCAGGAAAAGTGATTCTCAGAAGTACTTGGTTCCCCTTGCCCCCACCAGGTATCAGTGCCACCTTATGTTAGAAATGTCACACTTGACACCTCTCTGCCATTCAATCCTCAGTGTTTACCCAATTCCATCTTCTTTTCTGGAAGTGAAAGACGTGTCCACAAACGACACCAGGATGATAATTATTACAATTATGTATTGATTCAGCTGCAGTGCTGTGGCTTTGTGTCAGCTTTCCCCGCATAATTGTCTGACTTCACTGGGACTAATTGCAGCTAACACGGCCAGCTGGGCTATTATTCATCATCCTCCACGTTTCTTTTTTTCACTCTCAGCTGAGCAGTCCAACTCACCTTTGAAGGGTTCTTCAAATTCATTCAGATGATGACAAGAAAACCCTTATACAAATATCCTATTAACTATAATAATGTTGGGTAAACAGGCTCAATGTGAGTTGATATGAATTTAGAGTTGAATGTGAAAATAAGCCAAACATTCATAAACTATTGGCTATGTGTTTGTTTTGCTCGTAGAAGTTGTGGCTCTTCCTTTATGGTTCACCAAGCAACCATTTTAATTTCCTTATGTATATGTTTTTATTACAGGACGGAAAACAGAAAAGAAAATTGATATGGAAAAAGTATACAGGCCAAATGAAAACTCTTGTATCTCTTTTATAAATCGTGTCTATGACTCAAACCGATTCCGGTGATGATGGATAGAAAAAAAGGGGAAGTCATGAAATGTTGTTTGGCCTATCACTCATTGATTTTGAAGGTGTCATGTGACGTTTCTGTTGCTAGAAAGTCAGTTGACATTCAGTATCACCGCAGGAGACACATAAATGAAGTTTTTTATTTCACAACAAAAAAAATCATATAACAGTTTTGTTTCATACCTGCATTGTTTTGGGACATCAGCAAGTCTTTTTCATGATTGCTGATAAATGCGTGTCTTGGCACACTTCCAACACTTGTTGGTCATCAGGATAGTGGAAACATTATGCACAGGTGCTTCCTACAAATGCCCAAAGCTGCACTCTATAGAACGCCATTGTGTAATGCAGAGTTAAATTCAGTCAATTTCAGCTCAGTGCAAACACTTTGCAACATTGGAAAGACAAACTCTTCTATAAAACTTAGGTTGTCTGTGCAGATTAGTAGTAGAGTCAAGGGAGCACAAGAGCATAACAATGGAAAATTGTTGTAAAAGAAAATAAATGAACATGGGCATTTCACACAAAGTGCATTGAAGCTTAACTGTTTTGTAGAATCGTATATAATCTGTTCATTTGATGTATTGAAACTGTACAGAATTCTACTGCTCCAATCAACTACAATTAAATCACCTGAGCATCACAAAGATAATCATTTTAAAAAGATAATTTTTCCCAAGTGTGATTTAATTCATTGTAATAGCAGTAAAATCTTAAGGGGTGATTTTTTTTCTGTATAACAAATACAACCTCCACTTCTCTTTAGTAATAGATCGTCTGTGTCGACAAGGGGGATTGTTTTTGCGTGTGCCAAAATACAGCTGCCAAGTGGAATGAGTAATCAGGCAGAGTGCTCCTCCTCTGCTGTTGTCTACATGTGTAATGACAGCGGAGGCATAAAGTGCTGCTGGGGTGGGCGAGCGGTGGAGGGACCCACGCTCAGTGGTCCATGACAACTGCCGTCGTCACGCCGGTGCCACGGTGGCCTGGGCCCACTGAGGTACGCAGCTGTGTCTCTGACACGACCACACGCACTTCCAACGCGACCGACAGGCTGCTGTGACCCCCAGCCCGTTCCCTCCTGCATCACGCGTCTGAAATCAGTCTTGGTTTGTTTCGTAATGGGCAGATCCACAGTTCGTACCCACAATGTGCAAAGGCAATTTGATGTCAGTCAATCATGACTGAGTAGAACAAGTTAATTGAATATTTCTAATCTGAGGGATAAAACTAAAAATACCCGCCCCCACCCCCCCAACACATATTTATTTTCATCTGGCACAGGAATCAAAGGTAATAATTACAAAGACACAAAGATGAAGAGTAAAGAACATGAGTATGACTTATATGTAAATTAACTGGCGTGATGTGTCTAAAATTGGTCCCTTGTTCATTTCAAGAACAGTTAAAGGGACAGGGTGGCTTTAACCTTTCAAACAATTCATTGATGATTCTCGTAATTTATTATCTCTGCTCAAGGCTACACAGGCTGTTCATCTCACTTGGTCTTTGTTTCTAAAGTAGCCTGTGATTTTCTAAATGTCATATCTGATAAGTCTGATTACTGTCCGGAAGCACTTAAATATCTTCTGCAATTTTTGTGTCGGACATGCCCAGCAGGATAGAAATTCACAGCAATACAGATGTTGTTCAAAGTGACTTCCATCGATCACTGTAAGTGACTTGAGAAATGAATGGTTGCAAGCCACACAAATGTGTTTATCTCTTATTATCTGGCTACAAGAAAATTAGGAAAAAAATCCAGAGGTTCCATTTCCAACCCCCAGCGCAAAATCCAGCGCAATGCTGGAGCATTTAAAACTTTCATTG